GTACAAGCCTGTCAGGACACAGTGTTGCAGTGAAATGCCATGTCGATATTAACACTGTACAAGCCTGTCAGGACACAGTGTTGCAGTGAAATGCCATGTCGATATTAACACTGTACAAGCCTGCCAGAGCACCGTGTATATGTGCGTTTTGCACGTGGGTGTCCTCTGGGTACTCCAGTTTCCTCCTGTTCATGCAGTTCAAGCTTATTGGTGTCTGTAAATTGCCCATAGTGTGTGACGGTATGTGTCCTATGTATACTAGCAGTGTATGCTGTGCAGGGTGCAGCGAAACATCACCAGGGTTAGTAGTAAGAAGATGGGTGGAAAGATAACTATGTAATTATTTGTATATGTTATGTTTGTGTGTGTGTCTTTCAAGACACCTGTTTACATAACAGCAAGAATCCTGTTACTAATATTTTCCTGCAGCAGCAAGTAGTGTTTCCAAAAAATAGATTTTTTTTTCTCTCTATTGGTTGTTTTTAATTTCAAACACATACCATGAATATCCAAGAGAGTATGCAAATGGGAACCAAACCAGACATCCATCTTCTATAACCACTAATCCAGTGCAGGGTCACGGCAATCCTGGAGCCAGTCCCAGCAGTCACAGGGTACGAGGCAGGGGACACTGTGATCTGGATGCCAGTCCATCAAAGGGCACACAGACACTCTCAGGGCGATTTAGGGACACCAGCTTTTCTAGCTACGTATTTGTGCTTCAGTGGAAGTCACAGTGCCCAGAGGAATCCCTCACAAACTCACAGAGAACATGCAACCTCCCGCACACACACAAAGGGTGTGATTCGAACCCACAACCCTGGTGGGGATATGACACAGACTCTGTGCAGCTTTGCACATTCAGGAGTGCAGGTGGGTGAATCGTCACTCCCGGCGTCTTGGTCATTCCTTGCAAAATGTCACTGAGACTCAGTGCCATTTTGCTCTTTAAATGTCAAGGTTTCCAGTGCCCTCTTAGTATCTAGGAAATGATAAGTATAGATTTCAGTACCGGTTCTATTCATTTTGCTATCAGTTCCAGCTTATATAGCGCCCTTCCTAACATGCCCCAAAACGTTTAACAGAGATGCTGCAGCATCAGCAGATAAAACTGTAGCGTATAAAAAGTGGAGAAGGGTTAGAAGATAGCAGAGAGTGGGAAAATCCTGTGGCAGTTACAGGAGAGTTAGAAAGACTGGGGTTCCAAAACTTCCTGGCTGTTTAACATCACCAGACATGCTAGCAACACTCATGTCATATACAGGGAGCCTGCATGCTGCAGATGGGTGTCAGGGGGGGGTTTGGGTAAGCCCCTCTTTTATGGCAGACAATGGTGGTCAGCTGGTCAGGGTGTGACCCGAGGAGGAAGGAGGTCCTTCCCATTTTTCTAGCCTTTGTTCCAAGCTGATCTGACCTTCATATGCCCTTAGGTCTTTCAAGCCGGACTTTGTCCTGATTCGTCAGCACGCCTACAGCATGACCCCAGGCGATGACTTCAGGAGCCTGGTGATTGGCCTGCAGTTTGGGGGCGTGGCCAGCGTGAACTCCCTCTTCTCCATCTACAACTTCTGCAGCAAGCCCTGGGTGGTACGTGAGCACGGTGCCCTAAGCACAATGTCCTGCCCTAAAAGTGTTCCAGATTCATTCATTTAAACAATTAAGGGATGCTCTACACATCTGTCTTCCAAGTCTTTGGGGAGTTTCCAGCAGAAACAATTTGTTTTCCCCCCTGCTGGTTTGTGGTATGAAGTTTCAGGGCGATTATGAATCTGCTCAGGTTTAATTTCAGCCAAATCATTCACAGTACAGGCCACTCATGACATGCAGTGACTAGAATAGTGAGCATTTACTTAATGGTTTGGCCTCATCACTTTCATTTCATGTCACCCTCAGTTTTCTCAGATGATTCAACTGTTCCACTCCTTGGGTCCAGAGAAATTCCCCCTGAATGAGCAAACCTTCTATCCGAACTATAACCAGATGGTGAGTACCTCTGACTGTGGAATGGTGCTGCTCTTAATGTGAATGTCTTTCGGCTCTTCGTCCTAATTCACAGACTAAAATTGCCAACAAAAAATCAAATCTACTGTGTCTTCTAAAAGCAAACTCTCTCCAAATGGATGACTTAGATCAGATTGTTATTTCTTTGCATGCATTTTTCTTTGGGTTACTTGAGCTCCCGATTAGAAAATGCCTAACATTTCAAGAAGTTTATGCAGACGCTAATATAAGCTAAATATTTGTACTGTATATCTGTATCTCGCTATGTCATATGGTTGGTCCTGCCAAAAAGATGTCATCAAGTAAAAATTGTTAAATTGTTAAAGTGGACTGCTAACATAGTCAGGCTAAATTCACTGCGTCTGGGAGAGTTCTGTGTGTGTGTTTGTGTGATGTATATGGTCCCCACAATGCAATAAAAACCTTGTGCCGATTGCGTTGTGGGAACCACTATTTTTGGAAATTCAATTTTATAAGACTGCATCGAAAAACTAAAAATGCCAGAAATCTTGCATTTTATTTGGTTATTTATAGTTAAGGTTTACATATTCATGGTTAAGGTTAGGGCTGGGTAGAGGTTAAGGTTGTTAGTGTTGGGATTAGGGTTTTTCCCATAGAAATGACTGGAGTGTCCCCGCGTATGTATGTGTATGTGTGTGTGTATGCATGCACACGCGTACGTAACAGGTCTGGGAGCAGTTAGCATAAACTCTGCCATAAGGAAGAATAAAGCAGCTCTAGTGAAGATGACATTCCTTATTACTGCCCAATTTTATGCTTCCAGGACACCAGAGGTCCTTGTCTGTGACAGACATTTCTGTACAAGGCAGATACTCGGAAGTGGTTTGGGCACCACACTGGTCCTAAAGGTGTTATGGGCTTCATTTCCCTCCTTAACCGGGTGGTGTGACAGGATACCCTAGGGCAGGGGTACCCAATCTTACCCACAAAGGCCGGTGTGTATGCAGGTTTTTGGGATAACTTGTAGGTCAGCTGTTCAAACCCAGGTGTGAGGACTCTTTCAGCCAATCAGTCCTCTAATTATTAATCCAATTAGGCAGTTGCAGTGAAAACCCGCATACACACCGGCCCTTTGCGGGTAAGATTGGGTACCCCTGCCCTAGGGGATGCACTTGTGTATTTCCTTTATTCTTCGTGCCTTAGTGGGGGTGTGCTGCTAACGTGTAGCTGCTCTAGCTAGCATGAGTGTGTAACCATCACGGTCACCACAGACATTGGTAATGCCTCCCAGTCAGCTGCTTCTTTAGCTGAAATGTCCGTTTCCCGTCACAGAATCACCCTGGGAGGACTTTTTCCTTAATTCTTTTTCATTAAATCTTTATTATAAAAATATAAAACACAGATTAAACGTAAAACATACATGGTCCAGCAGAGATGGTATCTCTTGGAAAGAAAGTGATACCAGCCTTTCGGTGAGTAGCTTGACAGCCTTTTTCTTGACCTCTGTGTTAATCATTCGGTCTATTTACACGCGCGGAGAGAGACGTGAAACTAAGCCGGCACGGTGTCTCGAGAGAGATACCAGCAGTGAAACGTGACGTAGATGCAGAAACGCAGAGGAAAGCCCAGCAAGGATAGTGACTGAGAAGCTCGGCAGCTGGGGCCCACAGTTTTAGTTTAGTACCGTAAATTAGACCTCTCACTGAGTGAAGAATGAAATATTTGGGCCAAAGTGAAGACAAGTTCTGCGGCTGTCCCAGACACCGTGCCAACTTTGTTTCTAGGAATGATTCTACCTTCACAGGTATTATATATAGAAATGGTTTAGAAAATTTGTACCTCATTTACGAGATGTTTCTTTATAAAGACTTCTGTAATATTCTTTCAATTGACAGAAAACAACTTTTAAAAGTACGTATGCTGTTTCATTTCTGAAGTGGTGGAGAATGACAAAGAAAATGACAGCGATTGTCTGAGATGGATTTCCCATCATGCCTTGAGCCCTGGTTTCCAGCCCAAATTGACCTGGGAGCCTGTGACTGGGTCCACACTTGACTTACTTCATAGCTTATATAACACACAGCACAAATAAGACAAAGACAAAACTATGAGTATCCGGTCCGTGCTGTCGTACCCTATGTACCCCTCAGTCTGTGTTGTGGAGCTCTCTTGTACCGTACAAAATAAGTAAAAACCATTTCAAACCGTTATTTACCACGCAGAAGAGACCAAATACATTCTCGCCAACTCAAGCCAACATCGACAGCATTAAAGAGAACCCTACAACACAAACAGTAGTGGACACAGGGATAGAGTCGTCAATAAATATGTTACAGCGCACGCTGTGTGTGTGTATATACAGATGACGTTTATCATATAAAGGACATTTCTGATATTCAAGATATATACTTTTTAACGCCAGTACTAGCAGACACTCGGACCGTGAGTCGGCCGTTATACAAAGTACACCGTATTAGTGTCGCCCTCGATCTGGAGACAACATGTCTAATAATTGTGTTAAATGTGAGGATAAATATATTAAAAACAAAGTTAGCCCTCTATACAGATTACTTCCGGAGCTTGTTTTTTTTTTTTTTTGTAATGTTACAGCCCAGTCCCCTTACGGCGGCCATGTTTGAATACTGACTTATCGCTGAAAGCTGTAGTACTGAAAGGGAGTCTTTACAAAACAGCAGCATCTGGCCCAGCGTTTTGCCAAATTATTCCGTGTCCCGGAAGCGTGACGCTCGGACGAGGCCCCGTTAAATGGGGAGCCCGAGTTTGGCGGCACATGTTAAAATACGACTGCAGATATCTACATCTGAAAAGATAGGGCGTGGTCCCCACCCTTGGCGAAGCGAGTCCTACAATGCCCGAAACGGGGGGTGCGTGGAGGAGGGGGGCAGCTTTAGGGGTCGGTGGCGTTGATGGTGGTTTTGTCGCGGATGGTCACTCCCCTGTACCAGCTGCAGTAGCCTTCCTTCGCATGGATGCAAGCGTAGTGACGGGATTGGTAGCCGGGGTATCCGAAGTGAGACAGCATGTCCGTCCACAGGCACTCGTCCTTGGAGGTGACGAAGCAGGGCAGGTAGTGGCAGGCTTTGATCTACAAACACACAGGAAACAGCATAGGATAAGCCTCAGGCTACGGTTGGATCGATAACAAAATTTCGACTTTGATACCAGCTTTGATACCTTGATATCAATACCAAATTGATACTGCAAAACATTCCCATTTAAATATCATAATGCAATAAAATGAACAGGCCTATTTACGGTAAACCGTAATAGGCGAAATAGTTTTAACGTTATCAGTGAAATATGCATAGATTAATTCACTGCATAGAGTCTGATATTGATCTGGCCTCAACAGTCACAAAACCTCATCAATAATATATTAATATTAGGTTTGTCTTTGTGTTTGTTCTGTCCGTTATTTTGCCTGGCGTACTTTTCGTCACTGTGGAAAGGGACATGAATATGCAGGGTAAACATGACTTTAAACAAAAACACAAAACATAATAACCACTAAATGACATCATTATCATCTGTATTATGTATGTTTTCATGCACACCTGCCCTTGTATAAATCAGGGTGAGGGAGTGACAGTTCACCCTGGCTGTTGGATCTTTGTTCGGTTTAAAAACCAAAATGGCGCTATATTTCACTTCTGGCCCTTCGCTTATCAGAGGTGGGCAGTGGGCAACAGCGTTTTCCATCTGTGTGGCTTCTCCACACAAGAGACGTGTGAAATGAGCCTGACTGTCTCTCTCCACAAAGTGCAGATTTGCTACGTTTACTGTGTGATGTAACTTCTTAAATATCGAGGTCTGTAGAATGAGAGAATCACACCGTTTTAATTTTCTGGTATCGCGATATGATACTGAAACCAGTATACAGTATGGAATATCGTCCCCCCAGGCAGCGTGAGAGCGGAGCAAAGAGCGAGCAAAGCAGGACAGTTCAGGATTTAAGGCGACGCAGAAGCCAGCTGGGGGCTGGCTTGCAGATGTGTCCAAAAGTGCTGTTTTCTAAAGCCACATTTCTGGGGTTCATAAATTTATTTTGAAAAGCTGATACTTCTAACATTTTGAAGTGCGGTTTTCTTTTCCTGAAACTTGCCAGCTTTACACTGTAAGCTTACGGAATATATTAAACCTCAACGAGCCAGATAGCATGAGATCAAATAAATGCTTAAATGAATCTGATCTTAAAGTCCTTTTTTGTTTCTTTGTCTGAAATAGTACAAAATGTGTTAACGCTAAACTGTGTACAGACTTTATGAAGTTGGATGTAGTTAAGCAGATTATTCTGTATACACTGGGATCCTCTCGGTACTCCAGTTTCCTCCCACAGTCCAAAGACGTGTATTTAGATGCACTGATCTAACTAAATTGCCCCTGTGTGAGTGTGTCTATATGTCTGCTTTGTGATACATGGGAATCATGTCCACGGTGTCCTCGACCTTGTGCCCAGTGCATGCTGGGATAGGGACCCGGCCCAGTGGCAGCCTCTTCCAGATATGTGTTTGTTGAAGATGGATATTAAGACATATGAATGGATATATGAAACATACTCCAGGGCACCAACAGTTGACAGTCCTGCTATACAAAAAATACAGAGCAAGGAATCCCAAAGATTTACGTTTATGTACGGAAATATATACACAGGAAACGAGTAAATCAGGTGTGAGGGCTAATTCTGGGGAACGTTACCAAGGCAACTATGGCATGGAAAAGAGATGGCCGCAGCACTTCTGAGAGCTGTCCGAGGGCCCGAAACACTAAGCTGGCTGTCGGGTCCCCATTTACTCTGAGAGCTCCAGGAACTGCAAGAAGCTGTGACATTCACCTGTGTTTATTTCATGGATTTCTAAAAATCCCTGCAGGAAAAGAAGTGGTCTTGAGAGGCGGAAAACAGAACAATGTGCTTTAAGCGAGCCGGGGGCTCCAGCACTTGTTTTAAGTATAAAAACGTTTAAGTTTAATCGTGATGGCAGTAAAAACACCAGGGTCCTCGT